ATTGGGCATGAATTCATAGACAAAAGCGGGCCTTGTTCCTTCCACACAAAAACCAACATGAGGTACCACATTAAAATGGTGTATCCTCCTGATATTTGCGACTTCGTTGATAAATTCCAACCCATTAGTCTTGGATTTACCAAACATTTTGAGAGAAACTTTAGATCCACTCTTTAAGAGCTAGGAATATGGTCAATTTGGACTATATAATGACTCATGGGTGAAATTCAACCTATTTTCATATGGATATGATTGAAAAAATCTCTATTCAATCTAACTCTCATGGATTGTTATATTAAATAGATTAACCTGTCACTTCATTTATTTTTTTATAATTTTTTTAAAAAATTATATTTAAATGAGAAGTTGTTTTATGATATTTCATACAATTAAAAGAATTTACATAATAAAATGTATGACATCGATCAATTCTATCATGATTTATTCCAAATTTTGCTTGCCCTACAGGGTTTTGGTGCTAAAAATCCCTCCATTTTTTATTTTTCAATCTTCTTTCATTTTTTTTATAAAATAGTATGGGTTAAATGAGTTAACCTTAACTTTTAAGGTTAATCTATTTGAATCACAGGGTTATTTTATATGAGTCAATATGATTTTTATATTGACTCATATAATTTTTATATGATTTTTATGAGTCAGGGTTATTTTTAATCTTAACTAGAAAAGATTTATTTTTATATGAGTCAATATTTTTCGAACCCAACCCAACTTTTATAACAAGGTGGCTGGGCCAACCCACATAACCCAACCAAATTTTCTTTAAACTTTAAAAGTGTTTCTATTTTGGGAAAGTTAATAATTCATTAATAATTTTAACATTAAGGATTGACATATCTAGTTGATCAAGCTATAATAAAGGTTAAAACAAAATAAACTCCATGGACTTAATTTAAAATTGAGAAAAAATGAGGATTTATGGGTTTATTTTGCCAAACCAAAATAACCAAATTGATAACTCCCACAACCGAACGAAACTGATTTATTAATGAAAACCAAACTAAAACCGCAATATTTAGGCCAGGTTTAGTTCAATCCTATTTTGTTTAGGCCTTTCGACTGGCCTTAGTTTTCTTTATCGGTTTTCTCTTGCCCGAAAAAAGAGAATTGAATTAAATTTTTGGCCTATGGCAAATATCTTTTTGCTTTTTGACCAAACGTATGGCAAAATATCAACCAAATGTAGATGCTAAAATTTCAGCAAAATAGGATGAATGCTAAATCAATAGCTATTGGTGGACTTAAAACTGAAAATCTATAGCATATATAATTGAATTCAACTGCAAATGCATCCCCTAATTTAAAAAAAAATTATAATTAGAGTATGTACACCGTGCAACTTTGCATTACCTATTCTTAATATTTTGCACCATTAAATAAAAAATATTTGGACTCATAGGCTTGTTAAATATGTAATATTTTAATAACCAAAATAAGATATGAAGATTATATTTAAATAAAAGATCATATGAACATATTCAATATATTTTTTTAGAAAAGAAAAATAATGATTTGTCTATTTATGTTATTACAGTTTTAGTCATAGTGTAATTATTATTTTTCAAAAAATATTAATTTTTAAATTAAATATTATTGCAAAGTTCTTGGTTCTACCACTGTATTCAACTAATTATTATAGAACTAAAAAATTGGAAGCACACATTTTAACTGGAAATTGTAAATAACGGAAGATTGAAAAAAAGTCATAATTATGACAGAAAATTAGACCAATAGAAAAAAAGGATAGGTATGACATGAATCATTGAACATTGCCTGATAAAATTCGATTGGAAAAATCTGTAAGAAAATTTTACAAAAGCCAACCATGGTAAGGGGAAAAGTCGCTCTTCACTCAATCTTTGAATCAGAAAATCACTTTGAATCTTAATATCGTTGGGGTGTCAAGTATTAGTTGACTTGACATAGTATGAGAAAAAAATCGCCCATCAGAATTGGGTTAGAAAAGAGAAATATGAGTAAAAATGATTCATAAATTAATTACTTTAAGGTTTTGGGTTGGAACGTAATATTATAATCACTTATATGTGTCTCGCTTTCAAGATACTCCTTGGACATGCTCCCAACAAATACTTGCAACCTGCTGTTTTAAGTCTTTCTTCTTTGTCTTCCTTTGTACCTATAACTCACTTTGAATCTAAAATTTTAAATATGTAAAATTGTTGCCATGAAGCCCCATTCACCTTTGGCACTTGGGGAATAACACTAAAAATCATTACTAATTAAAGTAACAACAACAAACAAAACAAAAGTCGTTCATCATAAATATATTATTTCTCTGTTCATGTGCTAAATATGAGATAAGGGATATATATAACATAAAACTTATCTAACCCATCATAAATTCATTACTTTAAGATTTTGGGTTAGAACGTAATATAATCACTTATATGTGTCTCGCTTCTAAGATACTCCGTGGGCATGCCCCCAATAGATACTGCGACCTGCTGTTTTAATTATTTCTTCTTTGTCTTCCTTTGTATCTATAACTCACTTCAAATCTAAAATTCTAAATATGTAAAATTGTTGATATGAAGCCCCATGCACCTTTGGCACCTGTGAGATTTTTTTTTTGGAATAACACTAAAAATAATTACTAATTAAAGTAACAACAACAAACAAAACAAAAGTCGTTCATCATAAATGTATTATTTTTCTGTTCATGTGCTAAATATGGGTTAAGGGATATATATAATATAATCCTATCTAACCAATGATGCTTGTCTGTTATAGATGTTTTATTTTGTTAGTGATAAGCTACTTGGAATTAAATTAGTTTGATGCACTGTATGATTTTTAATGGAAGGGGTTCTTTGTTATAATGTTGTGGATTTATAGTGATGTGTTAGGTTCTTGACAACTTTACATATTGTAATCTTATGGTAAGGACAAATAAAGGATATTAAAAGATTTGTGATGTAATCGTATTAATAATTAAACATATTGTGATTTTTTATCAAATTAATGTTTTATTTCTCATATATGTGTATTTTTATGTGTATTCATGTATATAAATATCATTTTTTAATTAATTATTATGTCAATAGTTTGATTGTCAATCTAATTAGTTGAACACTAAGAATACATGACTCGTTGATTTTTTTAATTTGACGTTTAGTCCAGGTTTTAAAGCATTGTTTAAAAGCATGCTGGCGTTATTAATCACTTCTCTCAAGCTTTCTCCATCTACATTCACACAAAACAAGAGTCACATATAGGCTAGCAGATATGCCAAACGCACATATGGCACATATTATATTATTGTTGAGAAAAGCCATGTTGGTTAGCTAACTTGTTTTTTGAAATCCATATACAAATTTGTTTTTAAAATATGCGTAATGTGCTATCACATGTTAGATAAGAATAAACATTCTTAGGCATATTTTTTCCTCTTGTTCGTATTATCAGAAAATTGATCCATGCATGTTGTCAAAGGCCGTCAACATTAGGACGCTACTTTTTTTTTTTTAATTCATCAATATTAATTTATATAGTTTAGTTTATTAGAGTTATTAGTAGGTCTGCATGTTATGCAACCCCTAGACAATTTTTAATATCCGAAATTGGTAAGATGACGAAGTAAAGTACTGTAGTAGTTATATATTTGTTGGTTAGGTATCTAATTTTGCTTAGTGTGATAATTATATTGATTCCTTCTTCTTCTTTTTTTAATTAGAGCGTGACGTAAAAGCTTCTGCATGCTCCTAAACATCATGTAAAATAATCGTATGATGGACCCAGAAATTAACTTTAGAAGTAATATTGTTAAATAAATTTGGAAATTATTTGTATATATTATACATATAAAATTGAGCAAAATAATTTTTTTTTGTGGGGGCACTTGCCCCCTCTATGTTGTGTGTAGGTCCGTCCACGGTATTGATATTGCAATCTCAATTTAAATGTATATCAATATTATTGTTGTCAAATTTTCAAATTGACTATTGAGTTTATCATTTTTTTTACATTTTTAACTTAAAAAATTATGTCAATTTAATTATAATAAATTCAAACTAGATGCTAATTCAGTTATATTTGCAAGTTGGCTTTTTGAATTTATTGTTTTTATATTTCTACCTTATAAAATTGGGTCAACTTGCTCATAAACTTAAACTAGATATAAATTTGGTTAAACTCACTAAAGTTGCTGATCCTTTACCCAATTAAACAAGTTAAGTGCATGTTGTAAATGTATAGAACTCAATGCATAAAAGTGATAGGACCTGGTTCAAATAAAAACAAAACTCAAAAAGAAAAAAAACTAATATTACTAAAAAAAATAAGAACTACAAAAAATAAGAGCCTGTTTGGTATCAGTTTTCATTTTTTTTTCATTTTTTGTTTTTAAAAGCTGTTTTGGAATGTAGTTTTAAAAACTGTTTTTTTTAAAATAAAAAATAAAAAAATATGTTTAGTTGTGTTAATTTAAAAAATATTTTTATAATTAAAAATTGATCGACAGTAATAGTCGCTTGTGACTTATGATAGTAATTAGTTAATATGACTAAAGTTTTCAATGATCAAATATAATATATTTTGAAAATTTAAAAAATAAAATGAAAACAATTTTAAGACATTTCAATTTTTTGTTTTAAAAAACAAAAAAAGATAATAGTTTTGAAAACAATTAATATTTTATGTTTTTAGAAATCAAACAAGCCCTTGTTACCATATTTTGAAATCTCTATTTTGAACATAATAATTTATTAACATTAGATGAATTTAATTTTAATTAATTATAATTTTTATATATTTAAATTAAATTATGATTATATCTTATATTTTAATTATTTAATAAAATACTTTTAATAGGTTTATAGAGATAAATTATTATGAGTTTAATATCCAAGTTTATATTTTTATTATGAATTTACTTAAATTCATGAGTTGAACAATCTTTCTCAGCATTAACAATTAATATTAATAATTATATAATGGCTTAAAGAAACTAAACACGTCGTCAGTTAAGTAGATAAGTTGGCATTGTAAAGGCCCAATATTATTGAAATGAAGAGGTACATGACACATGACACATTAATTATCACATAACATGATAGATGATACACGCAGGACACAACAATGTAACAAAACCAGATGGACACACATTAATAAGATTTTGGGAATAATTAATAACAAACATGCTAAAACATCATCAAGCTCAAGAATCCTGAGCTGATGGCATCCGAAGTAGCTTGCCGTGGCAATAGTCGACGGTGGCATACAGAGTATAAGGCTTTTCATCTTTAGCTAGCCATCGGTTCACCAAGAAATCCACCGTAGTAGATATGGTTGGGCCATTGACAGCAATTTTAACGTAGTCCAAGTACCACCCTGGACTACCCCCGGAGCCGTCGGACGTGACGGTGATGTAGCAAGGGTGGAGGCAAACTTGCTGGCCTTTGAACAAGTCAAGGTGGCCCTGCTCAAAGTAGTCATGACTAGTTCCCATGATGCCCCAATCTTCGAGGTTGTTCAATTTAAAGTCAGTGCCACGAACGTCCTTTACATAGAGGCTGATCTTGGAGTCTGTTCCTGCCTTTTTACGATCTCCTGTTTGAACGCTTATCACATACGTGCACTGAGCCTCCTGCATGCATGCAAGAGTCCCATTTGGATCAACATGACCATATATGCATACTCCCTCAAATCCCAAAGATAAGCATCTTTTAATAATAATTCATATACCAGCAAAATTCTTATTTTCATGAAAATATATATATATATATATATATTGTTCCCTCAGTGATAATAGGTTATATTCCTTGAATTTAAGCCAAGGTGCTTGTATCTTCTTGATATTTTGAAACCCTTTCATATTAATATATATATATATATATATTATTGTCCTCTTTTTATCCTTAATTCTAATTTATGACAAGTGAGAAGAACGACATAATAAATTCACATAGAGAAGAATCTAAGCTAATAAATACAAATGGTAAAATGGGAGGAAAAGCTTGCAAGTACTAAATTACTTATATTCTAGAACAAGATTAGTTGAGAAAAAAATTCTTATATTTTGGACTACAATATGTATGTATGTATGTATGTAAGTATTTGACTCTTATAGTCTTATTTATGAATAATTTCTAACATATTTCACTAAAATCAAGAAAAATCTTAAAACTTTAGTAAATACACATAAGTAATAAACTTTCTCTTTCCAACATTTAATGGAAGATAAAATAAAAAAATTGTGATAAAAAGTTAATAATAAGACTTAAAAAAAAAGAAGTATCCTATCTCAGTCCCATAAATAGGTTGGGAAAATGGAGTAAATAGATACAGAGACACAACCAAGGTACGTAGAAGAAAAGCTTAAGTAAGATGATGGGTGAAACTAATAAATAATATATAATGGATCAAGAGCTAGAATGGAGTAACTCACAGATGCAGCGATTGCAGCGAGAGTGATGAGTAAGAGTAGAAAAAGAAGAGAAGAGAATGCAACTTTGAAAGCCATTTGTTTAGCTTGTGGCGGTATGTACTGATGAAACAACCTATGAACCTATAATGCCTTTATATAGATATGAGTTTCACTCTTCTGTCATCATCTTATATGAAGCACGTGGAAACCATTTTTTGTCTTTCAAAATATAAAAAGCCAATTGTTGTCCTAAAAAAATAGTGACCGCGATTTTGTAAGTTTTATAATAAATGATTCTAAAACAATGAAAAATGTGTTATTTTCATTATTAAGTTAACTATTGCTATGATTTAACAAAAAATTATTATTTTTATTCTGTCACTCAGTATTATAAGAAACGTGTTCGCTCAAATTAATCCAAATCATCGTTGTGTGAAATTGTTATTACTAACGGTGACTTCACAAGTAGCTCAAGGATGTCTTTGGCTTATTTATTTAATACAACTATTTATTTTAGAACTCGAACTTGAGATTATAAGATAAGTTAATTTAACTCCCTCAATTAGTTGAACTAAGAAACTATCAATTTTAACAATTTTTATAATTATTTGCCAGTACAATTTTAAAAAGAAAATAATAATTTCTTAACACCATCAATGAATACTCTAAAATGTTTTAATAATTTTTTTAAATCATTAGGATTTTTCATATCAAATTAAAATTAATACCAATTTGTTTTGAAAGTTGATATCCACAATATATGGGTCTAGAAGTATACTTTTTGTATCATTTTATTTTGAATAATAGGTGGTTGTGCAAGTCGACTGGTGAGGGGATTGATATATCCAACTTAGTCAGAGTCTTGAGTTCAAGCCTTGAATATGTAGTAATGATTAAATTCTCATTGAAAGGTATGCCTGTTAAAGAAGTATCCTCAATTGCCGTCCAAATTAATTTAAATAAAAAATATTGAATACCTGAATTCACGAAAAAAAAATGTTTGATGTGAGTGAAGGAGAGTGAGTATGGGCTATGGCCTTGATGCTGTTTGAAGTCGCCCACTGTGGTCCCGTGTTGGGGACCACTGGTTTGTGTATACTTACTTCCTTTTAATGTTCTAAATATACGTGAAGGAGATGATAAAAAAAATATAATAATAATAATAATAATAATAATAATAATAATAATAATAGGTCCACATACCTGCATTTTGGTTTTAGTCTCTAATTTTATTTTGTTGTTTTCAATTGTTTCAATTTGACAACATTAGTTCATGTTGTTTTAAAAATGCACATGAAGGCATAAGTTGACACCGATTGAGTTAATTTTGTTGACTTATACTTAACTCTACGAACCTCATTGTCGAAATGTATTTAATCATATGCGTTCACCTCCCACATTCTATTTAATACAAATACACCATGAAGCTTTTTTTACTCCCTTATCTTTATTTTTAATCATAACTAATCAATTTATCTCTATGTCAGTATAAGGGCTAACAGTGTTACAATAAAATTGATTTCATCAGTTTCAGCTCATAGTCGTTATGTGAATTTTTGAAAATTATAGGGATTAAAGTTTCAAATAGATCAAATTAAAGGGACTCAAAACAACAAAATAAAATTATAGACACTAAAAATAAAACACAATCAACATATAAAGATCTACTGTTTTATTTTGCCAAAAAGAAAGGAAAATCCTTTGTAGCACCTTAATTGTGAAAAAGGAGCCAAGCATTCTGAATTTTTTCTGAAGTTCCTTGACATCACATTAGAAAATAAGATTGAAGGAGAAAAGATGGATTGTATGATTTTTAATGGAAGGGGTTCTTTGTTATAATGCCGTGGATTTATAGTGATGTGTTAGGTTAGTGACAATTTTACCTATTGTAATGTTATTGTGTGGACCACTAAAAAGATATTAAAAGACTTGTGATGTAATTTTATTAATAATTTAATATATTCTGATTTTTTTATTAAATTAATGCTTTATTTCTCACATACATCTGCATGTATTTTTGTGCGTTCGTGCATGTAAAAATTTTTAAATTAATTATTATATCAATAGTTCGACCGCCAGTCTAATTGGTTGAATTATGAAAACCTAATCAACTAATTTTTTTTTAATTTGACATCCGGTCTGCTTTTTATAATTAGCATAAGGGTGAAATGAAAAAAAAAATTGCTAGCACTAATGTTACTTTTATTTTAGAATAAGATTAGCTAGGATAAAAAATGCTTATATTTTATCCTTGGCTCTAATTCTGATCTCCTGTTTGAACACTAATAAAATACGGGCACTGGTCCTCTTGCATGCATGTAGTCCCGTTTGGATGATAGGATCAACGGGCACTGATCCTCATGCGTGAATGTAGTCCCGTTTGGATTAATAGTATATCTGGCTAGAATAGAATGATGGCATACTCTTTCCCAATTGTAATATAAGTCATTTTTTAAAAATTTTATTTAATCTAAAATATGAAATATTGAATAAGTATTTTTTTTCAATTACACCCTTATTTTATTAAGTAATTAATGAAAAATTCAAATATTATATGTATTACACTCAGGGGGCACGATTGAAAATACGTGAGAATTTTTAGAAAATCAAAATTTAAACCAACATTTTTTTAAAAAATAAATTAGTTAATAATAACTTATATTATAATTCATAGAGCACATAAATATACTCTCTCTGATGCAAAATATAAGCATCTTCTAACAATACTATGCATATATACCAACAAAATCCTTATTCTAATGAAAACATATATTGTTTTTTATTTTTTACCCTTGGTTTTAATTTATAATAAGTGAGAAGAAGACCATAATATATAAATTCACATACACAATATTCTAGGTTAATAAATACAAATGGTAAGATGAGAAATTTTTCTAAGTTATTTATATTTTAGAGCAAGATTAGTTGGGAGAACATGCTTACATATATTTTGGACTAGAGAGTGTATATATATATTTTTATAAGTCACTTTTAACTTTTTTCATCAAAATAAAAAAATTAAAATTTATTAATTTGTCTAAAAATTTAATAAATTTTGTAACTTCAACTGATTGATTCAACACTGTCTTCACTCTCCAGTCTTTTGTCTATTACTCTTCATGTGACAGCGACCTACTGCGATGAATGTCTTCACTACTTTTCACTCGACCTTTCAATCTGAAAACAACCTTTTTTGAGTCTTTCTTCTTCGTCTTCCTTTGTATCTATAGTTTACTTTGAATCTAAAACTCTAAGGGACTGATTGGTTTTTGTTTTTTTAAAAAATAGTTTTTTTTAAATCAAACTTTGTTTGATTGAGTGTTTTGAATCTAATTGTTTTCAAAACTATTATTATTTTTTCCTTAAAAAAATGGAAACATCTGAAGGCTGTTTTCATTTTATTTTTCTTATTTTTTAAATACATGATATTTTATTAATAAAAATTATATTTACCTTGATCAACAATTATTATAAGTCACCACCATTAACTACCAGTGACCATCACTATATATCAATTAATTTTTTAATTTTAAAACTGTTTTTAAATTAACACTACCAAACATATTTTCTTTTTATTTTGCTTTGAAAAAAACAGTTTTAAGAACTATATTGCAAAAGCATTTTTAAAAATAAAAATGAGAAAAAAAAACAAAAAGGTCCTAAATATGTAAGATGGTTGCCATGAAGCCCGTGCATCTTTGGCACCTGGGAGATAATTAAAATTAGGTCATATTCGAACAGCGTATAAATATATTATTTTTCTGTTCATGTGCTAAACATGAGTTAAGCGATATATATGATATAATCTTATATAACCCATCATGCTTGTCTGTTATAAATGTTTTATTTTGTTAATGGAAGGGGTTCTTTGTTATAATGTCGTGGATTTATAGTGATGTGATAGGTTATTGGCAATTTTACATATTGCAATGTTATTGTGTGGACAACTAAAAGATATTAAAAGACTTGTGATGTAACTGTATTCATATTTTAACATATTATGATTTTTTTTATCAAATTAATATTATTTCTCATGTATATGTGTATATTTTTGTGTGTGTTCTTGCATATAAATATTATTTTTTATTTAATTATTATGTTAATACTTTGATTATTGATCTAACTGGATGAACCGCAAGAACACATTGTTTTTTAAAATACTGTTTAAAGTCATTTTAGCATTATTAATCACTTCTCTCAAGCTTTCTCCCTCTACATTCACACAAAATAAGAGTTACAGATAGGTTAAGCAGATATGCCAGAAAAAGCCATGTTGGTTAGCCAACTTGTTTTTTAAAATTCATAAATAAAAATATGTTTTTACACTTTGTGTAATGTGCTGTGTATCACATGTTAATTAGATAAGAAAAAACATGCTTAGGCATATGTTTTCCTCTTGTTCGTATTATTAGAAAATTGATCCATGCATGTTACCAAAGGCCGTTAACATTAGGACGCTACTTTGTCTTTTAAAAAATTCATCAATATTATATAGTTTAGTTTATTAGATTTATTAGTAGGTGCTCATGTTATGCAACCCCTAGACAATTTTTAATATCCGAAATTGGTAAGATGATGATGCAAAATACTGTAATAGTTATTGGTTAGGTATCTAATTTTGGACTATATATATTAGTGAGATAATTATATTGATTACCTTTTTTTTCTCTTAATTAGAGCATGACGTCAAAGCTTCTGCAAGCTACTAAAAATCATGTATAATAATCCTATATGACGGACCCAGAAATTAATTTTAACTAAAAATCATGTATAATAATCATGTTAAATAAATTTGGAAATTATTTTTTTAGATTATACACATAAATTTGAGCAAAATGAAATTTTTTGGTGGGGTCACTTCTCCCCTCTATGTTGTGTGTTGGTCCATCCCTGGTATTGATATTGCAATATCAATTTAAATGGATATCAGTTTGACTATTGTCAAGCTCTCAAATTCACTTGAATTTATAATTTTTATATTTCTAACTCACAAAATCATATCAATTTAATTATAATAAAAACTTAGTTATATTTGCAAGTTGGCTCTCTAAGTTTATCATTTTTACTTTATAAAATTGGATCAACTCACTTATAAATTTTTCAAACTACA